GAGAGAGAGAGAGAGAGAGAGAGAGAGAGAGAGAGAGAGAGAGAGAGAGAGAGAGAGAGAGAGAGAGAGAGAAGAGAGGGGGGGGGGGTAGAGTGAAAACAGACAGACAGGCAGGCAAGCAGGGAGAGAAAAAATGACTGCTTCAGTATGTGTATGTGTGTGCCTGTTGGTCAATCATGTACGCCTAAACATTAATACTGATCACACACATAAACATAAAACACGAGAAACATTCAAAGATCCTCATAAATAACAGACATCTAGTACATCTATTCTAAGAATCAAAAATACACATTGGTACGGACCTTCCTATAAAATCATTAAAAGATGTTTGCCCCTTCATATTTGCAAAAAACAGTCACAACATCTAGTGCAAGCTCTATCGAGAGAAGAGAGAGAGAGAGAGAGAGAGAGAGAGAGAGAGAGAGAGAGAGAGAGAGAGAGAGAAGAGAGAGAGAGAGAGAGAGAGAGAGAGAGAGAGAGAGAGAGGAGAGAGAGAGAGAGAGAGAGAGAGAGAGAGAGAGAGAGAGAGAGAGAGAGAGAGAGAGAGAGAGAGAGAGAGAGAGAGAGAGAGAGAGAGAGAGAGAGAGAGACAGACAGAGAAAGAGACAGAGACAGACAGAGAGAGAGAGATAGAGAAAGAAAGAGAGAGACCTTGATCTAGCGTGCTATCAATGTAAACAAACAACCAACTCATTCCCCTTAATGGTGAGTGACAAAATTATTCAACGAAGGAAACAGACTGGACGCCGTTAGTAATGACACTGAAATTGCAGACGAAAAAAAATCTTAAATTGCTTTTGCATTAACTGAAGGAGATAAACGAAATAAGAATTTCAAAAGAAATCATTTACATATTATGTAGTGCAAATGTTATGATTAACTAAAAAATGAAAAGTCTACACATTTTAGAGCAACAATCTAATAGGATAATAGAATCATAACAAAGATTGGTGTTTCAACATGAGCGTTCAGCATGGAAAGACAAGTGTAAATAAAACGCACTTTGAACATTCCCGGGATGGCCATGATACACTAAAAAATAGTAAATACTTATATTTAAGTGCATAATAAAGCTGTCAATATACTCCAGTTAATACTACTGGTCGGCACAGATATGATAACAACTTGCTAATTTATAACATCATCTATTGACAAAATAATTAAATAATCAAGAGAATTTCATCGTTATCACTCATTTCTGTCGGCCATGTTGGCGGTTTATTTACAATTGTGACGTCATGAAACCGTAGCAAGCTTCCTCTGGAGGTAGTTTGAAAGGCTTGATTTTGGTTGCAAACCAGATAAAAAAAAAATCTGACCAAAAAAATTCGTCAAAAACAAATATGATCAAGAATTTTCAAGAAATCTTCAAATATCTTGCCGCCATAAATGCGCCTTATGCTGTAAAATCTGTAATCTTGGAAAATTACCGACACTGACGTCATGGATTGCCAGCTACGTCATTAATACGTCACAATGTCAAGAAAATGACAACCCTGAGGAGGTTAGCAAAACGCATGAATCTATTTTCCGCCCACCGTGACTTCTATCTATAAAGTTTGTGACGTCATAAGCCACGCCAAATATCGATCCTAAAATGAAAGTTTGTAAAATAAATAAATGAATAAATAAAAATAAATAACAAAATTATTTTCACAACAAGATAAACCAGAAAAAAAATACATACTAAGTTGAGAGTAGGCTGAAAGAAGTACAATGAAAATAAAAACATAGCTCCCGTAGATATGAAAACGTGACTAAAACTAACAAAAAAATAATAATTTAACATAATACAAGTAACCATCACAGAAGAAGCAAGAAATAAATTATACATAAATAAATCGCAAATGAGTACGGGGTCAAAGGTCAAACGATAACATAATACAAGTAACCATCACAAAAAAAAACGAAAAATAAATCATACATAAATAAACCGCAAATGATTACGATCTCAAAGGTCAAACTAAAACAGAAGTGACTTACTTAAACCAAACGTTAATCAAACCATAAAACAAGAGTAACAAGACACAGACATGGACACAAAGAAACATGAAGACGACGAGGGTGGCGAGATGGGCGAGCGAGAGGAAGTGGGAGGCTGGCGGTGAGATGAGATGACAGGAGGTGGGATGCCTCCTTACATTATTACTTTTAATGACAATTTATTGTTGTTGTTATTACTACTTTATTGTATTATTTATTATGATTTTATTGTTTTATTGTTATTATTATTGTTATTATTATTATTATTATTATTATTATTATTATTATTATTATTATTATTTATTTTATTATCATGCTTGTTATCATTATTGTTATTATCATTATCATTATTATTAATAATATATCATTTTCATCATTATTAGTATCATTTTATGCCATTATTATCATTATCAATCGTATTTTCGTGTTGTGCACGAAAAATGCATTCTTTGCACTATCACATTCTTTATCTATCGGTCCTGCAACTCACACGCAGAAAATTATCTATTACTTT